CGTTTTGTGTACAAGAAAATCTGTAAAACAAAGAAAAATAATCCCTTAGCGTGCGTGGCGGTTGGGTGCCATTCTGGTACATCAGACGATGTCGGCTCTCGTTTGAAGCCTCGCCACCCCGCCATTTTTTCTGCTCTTGTTTTCTTGTTGTGAGTGGGATTTCCCCCCCCCCCCCCCAGTTGTTTCTCTATTTCTTTAGAGTGACCAAACGTAAACAAACAAAGCAGGTGAATAAAAAATTTGATCGGGGAAACTTAACGAGACAAAGCCACTGACGATTACCACTGAGTTGGTAAATAAACTACACAAAAAAGAGGAAGGGGGGGGGGGGTAAATATTTTGAGGTGAGGTGAGGGAGACGGGCGTGAAACTATTTTTATGGAATGTTAAGTGGCGCTCGATTGGGGAGGGGGGGGGGGTAATGTTGAGTTAAATTTGTCTCCAATTTAAGCAAGACAATTTAAGAAGCCCGAGGGCAGTTGGGGCTGGGGAGGGGTAGGGTGAGAAAAAAAATCGAGTTTGGCAGAATTAGGGCAGGAAAGGGAGGGAAGTGAGGGGGAAGGGGAGGGAGTCGGTGATGATGACGCTATGGCTATTTTTACTCCTGGTCTCCCATTGATTAAAATGTAATCAACTAACATTACTGCACTAACATCTCCACTAACATCTCCACTAACATGACTCCACTAACATTACTGCACTAACATCTCCACTAACATGACTCCACTAACATTACTGCACTAACATCTCCACTAACATCTCCACTAACATGACTCCACTAACATGACTTCACTAACATGACTCCACTAACATGACTCCACTAACATGACTCCACTAACATGACTCCACTAACATGACTCCACTAACATGACTCCACTAACATGACTCCACTAACATCTCCACTAACATGACTCCACTAACATCTCCACTAACATGACTCCACTAACATGACTCCACTAACATGACTCCACTAACATGACTCCACTAACATGACTCCACTAACATGACTCCACTAACATGACTCCACTAACATGACTCCACTAACATGACTCCACTAACATGACTCCACTAACATGACTCCACTAACATGACTCCACTAACATCTCCACTAACATGACTCCACTAACATGACTCCACTAACATGACTCCACTAACATGACTCCACTAACATGACTCCACTAACATGACTCCACTAACATCTCCACTAACATGACTCCACTAACATGACTCCACTAACATGACTCCACTAACATCTCCACTAACATGACTCCACTAACATGACTCCACTAACATGACTCCACTAACATCTCCACTAACATGACTCCACTAACATGACTCCACTAACATGACTCCACTAACATGACTCCACTAACATGACTCCACTAACATGACTCCACTAACATGACTCCACTAACATGACTCCACTAACATGACTCCACTAACATGACTCCACTAACATGACTCCACTAACATGACTCCACTAACATGACTCCACTAACATGACTCCACTAACATGACTCCACTAACATGACTCCACTAACATGACTCCACTAACATGACTCCACTAACATCTCCACTAACATGACTCCACTAACATGACTCCACTAACATGACTCCACTAACATCTCCACTAACATGACTCCACTAACATCTCCACTAACATGACTCCACTAACATGACTCCACTAACATGACTCCACTAACATCTCCACTAACATGACTCCACTAACATGACTCCACTAACATGACTCCACTAACATGACTCCACTAACATGACACGTAAATTTATATATATATATATATATATATATATATATATATATATATATATATATATATATATATATATATATATATATATATATATATATAGTTATACAAACTGAAATGTATACTAGCTGAAATGTGGACCAACTGAATATATATCAACAAAACTGTATACCAACTAAAATGTATACCAACTGAAATATACACCTTTTATAATGTATACCTGCTACAATGTAAACTAGTTGTACGCCAACTGAAATGTATACAATGTAAAGTGGTTGACCGTTGAAAAGAAGTTTAAGAACACATACGACTTCTAAAACACGCCGCCTTTGTAAATTGAAGTTTAGTATGTCAAACACGTAACAGCCTTAGGCAAGGGGGAAATCCTTTGTTTACAACATCGGTAGGGAGGGGTGGGAGGGACAAACGTGGGGAGGGGTGAGAGGGGTGGGAAGGATGAAGGTGGGGAAGGGTGGGAGGGATGAGGGTGGGGTGGGTGGAATTAAGGTGGGGAGGGATGAAGGTGGGGTGGGGTGTGAGGGTGGGAGGGATGAAGGTGGGGAGGGGTGGGAGGGATGAAGGTGGGGACGGTTGGGATGAGGGGAGGGGTGGGTGGAATTAAGGTGGGGAGGGATGAAGGTAGGGAAGGAAGAAGTTGGTGTGGGGGTAGAGTTGGATGCATTTTACATAAAATGTTTTTAAATCAAGATTTAGCACAGACAGACAGACAGACACACACACCAATTAGTTTTCAACACACCTATGTGCTTTGAGAGAGAGCTGACACAGGAGAATAGACGAGACAATAGACAAGAGAATGGACACAACGTAGACACATCCGTGTTACAATGATAGCTAAACCTGGAAAAAAATATATTGGGGGAGTCGAGTGAGATGGATACCTCGACGAGACCTTGTTATAATGGCACTTAGCAGTCAAAAACTTACCGCGACTTTAGAACAACTGTGTGCGCTAGTTTAGACATCACCGACACACCAACTGCGCAACTTCCGACAATGTGCGAACGCGGGTCATATTCTTCAATATCCTGCTCAAACCGTGCGCAATCAATCAGATGAATATCGCAGAATACAATCTACGTGACGTCACATTTACACACCAACTTCAAGTGTGGTGGAGGGGGTGGGGGGCTCATACAGGACACCGCATCATTACACAATGTGAGGAACGCGACGTGACACGTCATCATTCTGCTGCATGACCACATATGTTACGGTAATACATCTGATACTTGCACCTGATTAAAAGATCGTTGGGTCAGAACGAAGGCGAGAATGATCTCACGTCATTACACCTCGGCGGGACAATCCGAGATTACGGCTGGAAGCGTGGCGGAATATGCACTAATCGGCTAATTAGCAGGCTAAAGCCTATGTCGACAGACTAATTATCCAGTTAATTAGTGGTAATTTTAAATATTCGTCGCGTGGGAGTAGGGGGCTAGTAATGTAGCGGCTAGTATTTGGCGGGTAGCCGTGGAGTGGGGAGGGGGGGGGGGGGATTGGCGGGTAGCACTAGAGGGGAGGGGGGGGGGTAGCAGTAGAGTGGCGGGTAGCAGTGGAGTGGGGGCGGAGAGCAGTGGAGTGGGGGGTAGCAGTGGAGTGGGGGGTAGCACTGAAGTGGCGGGTAGCAGTGGAGTGGGGGGAGGAGAGCAGTGGAGTGGGGGCGGAGAGCAGTGGAGTGGGGGGTAGCAGTGGAGTGGGGGGTAGCACTGAAGTGGCGGGTAGCAGTGGAGTGGGGGGTAGCAGTGGAGTGGCGGGTAGCAGTAGAGTGGGGGGGGGGGGGGCGGAGAACAGTGGAGTGGGGGTAGCAGTGGAGTGGCGGGTAGCAGTGGAGTGGGGGGGGGCGGAGAACAGTGGAGTGGGGGTAGCACTGGAGTAGCGGGTAGCAGAGGAGTGGGGGCGGAGAGCAGTGGAGTGGGGGTAGCAGTGGAGTGTAGAGTTGCGGTGGAGTGGCGGGTAGCAGTGGAGTGGGGGTAGCAGTGGAGTGGGGGGTAGCAGTGGAGTGGGGGTGGAGAACAGTGGAGTGGGGGGTAGCAGTGGAGTGGGGGGTAGCAGTGGAGTGGCGGGTAGCAGTAGAGTGGCTGGTAGCACTGGAGTGGCGGGTAGCAGTGGAGTGGGGGGTAGCAGTGGAGTGGCGGGTAGCAGTGGAGTGGGGGTAGCAGTGGAGTGGCGGGTAGCAGTGGAGTGGCGGGTAGCAGTAGAGTGGCTGGTAGCAGTGGAGGGGTAGGTAGCAGTAGAGTGACGGGGAGCAGTAGAGTGGCGGGTAGCAGTGAAGTGGGGAGAGGCGGGTAGCATTGGAGTGGCGGGTAGCAGTGGAGTGGCGGTATCTCAAGTCGCCATCATACAGCACCTGGAGCAAGATTTGTCGAACTGATGGACGCTTGGAGGGATACTTGCTGGCAACTGCGAGAAAATCCTGGCCACCAATCTACATGCATCTCCACAAAAATCTTAACATTTTTAGTCTTTTTTTTTTAAATGTTCCCATATTTGATGTGAGTGATAGGATCTAACTTTGTTGCGTCGGTTTTTTATTACTTCACATTGTAAATAAATGAACAGCCCACATTAGTTTATAAATAACTTTTCCAGTTTATAAAACAGTGCCGGGTACAGGGAGATAATCAAGAATACGTTAGGGAAGGTGAGATACAATTAATGAGATATCTCTTTTAAAGCTATCTACCGTTATAGGCCAGGTAAAACAGTTAATTAGTAGCTCCTGTGTTTATCTGAGAATGATTCAATAAGCGACACCTGATCTTAACTAATTCATTCTCTAAAAATTTCAAGTGCCCCCCTCCCCCATCCTCGGAGAAAAAAGTCTGGATGAAACACTGACTGTGATGTCTAAACTGTCTATTTGTACTAGCACTAGACGAATCCACCAGTTACATAATTAAATATTCGAGAAACTAAATTATGTCTATAAGTAGTTTTGTTCAGCATACAGAAGTCAATCATTTAATAACTCCAGTCGGTGGGGGGGGGGGGGGGGGACGGACGGACGAGGACTACCACTATATGCCGACATTCATTCAGGGCCAAGCATGAGTATAGTTACATAACATAGTACAATTGTTTCTAAGTCAACAAATGGCAATTTGAAGACCTTTGGCCTCGACAGTTAACCTGCACATTGAGGGGGAGGGGGAGCTGTAAAAAATTGGATTGTAAAAGAAATCTCACGTCAGTGTAAGACCATACCCAACGATTCCTCCCTGTGATCCCCTGTGGGTGGGGTTAAACCCGCCCTCAGACTTTCGTCGCCTGGCAAACAGACGACTCAGCGTTTTCCTCAGGTTGACCTTGCGGAATCCGCCTTTCTTGCTCTTTCTGGAACCGTTGCGGTTGTTTCCTCGGTCGAACAGTCCGCGTCGTGTTGGGGTATTCCCGTCCTCGGGTAAGTCTTCCCCTCCGTCTTCCCGAGAGTCAACGGTCCAGTTGCCAAACGACCTTGACACGTGCAGGGGAGGGTGAAGGTAAGAGCGGCCCCCGGGCAGGAAATTCCCCACCGTGACGCTCCGGGCGATGCGGTGGTTGTCGAGATCCTCGTCCTCCAGCATGGGTTTGTGTCGGGACTTGGTGCTCTGGGTCCGCCGGAACACTTGCACCGGCGGTTTTATCAGCACCCGCTCGTCCACAATATCCGGCTCGGACTCGTCGGTGTCCCCGGGCGACACGATCACGTGATGTTCTTCCGGCGCGTCAGTCGGATCCAAATTCTCAACCGATGTCGGCCGTTTCCTTGACAACAGCGGTGACGCTTTTCTTATGATGGCGCCGTCTATTTTCAAACCTTCTTCACTGAGCTCGAGAGATTTTCTTTTCTTTCGTTTACTGTTCCCGCGGAAGAAGTTTTTGAAGCTGGACAGCCTTGACCTCTGGAAGCCTTTAGTCGTGTCGTCGGTGAACAAGTCACTGGACCTGGAGGTCCGGTGGCCAGACGAGTAGAGCTTGGAGGCGCCGATGTAGAACCGGACGCGATGTACGTCTGCAGACACGTGGTTGCTCGTCTGCTGGGAGTGACTGGGCTGTAGAGCGTTGACGCCGTCGAAACTAAAAGAAAAAATATTTCAGACGCTCAGCGAACATCAACAATTTTCACACTCACCCCCACCCCACAGTTGCCAAATTTAGATTGAATTATTTGTATCTATTGAAGATGTATTTACTGTTTAAATATGATAATCTTAGATGTTAGGAGATAAAAAAAAAACAGTGTTTGTATATATGTGTGTGTGTGATTTAAAGATAAATAATACATAATGAAATGTGATATATCATTAATGCAATGTGAAGTTACCTGTTAGATTTCCTGTATCGCGAGATGCTGGCGACGGTTGTGGGGTTGATGTTGCTGATGGCGCGGCGAAATGGCGGCCGTTCGACCTGCCTGAGCTGGGTGGTCAAGTCGTGGACAAGCAGCTCCAGAGACGCCTCCTTGCTGGTCACAGTTGAGGCGCTGAAGGCGGCTGAGATGGTACCACGTGACGACGCTGAGGTCAGATCGGACGGGGGTATGTGTGGGGTCGCTCTGGGTTTAACGTCTGCTCCAAGATTCACGTCCGTCTGGATGTCAGCGTGGTTGGGTTGGAATGTGGTTGGTTGGGCGGGTTGGTGATGCGATGATTTTGTTTGATCGGGGATTTGATTTATTTTGGTTGGTTGACCAGATGAGACACTTAGATCGTAGAGTTGAACTATAGAAGGGTCAGCTTGACCACTGTGTTGACCCAACGACGGGTCGGCTTGACCATGGAGTTGACCAAGCGAAGGATCAGTTTGACCATTGAGTTGACCCAGAAAAGGGTCAGCTTGACCTTTGAGTTGACCCAGCGAAGGGTCAACTTGACCTTTGAGTTGACCCAGCGAAGGGTCAGCTTGACCTTTGAGTTGACCAAGCGAGGGATCAGCTTGACCCGAGGCTGGAGACGTCTGCAGCCACGTGGTGTGGACCTGACAGGACGAGGAGCTGGGTGACCTTGACACGGGTGCCGGCTGGGTGCAGGTGATGCTGGATGTGCTGGACATCGGACTCAACGTCTGACCGGAAGTCGATTCTGGAACCATCTCGGCGGTCTTCATTTCTTCAGGCAGCACTTAACGACGCAATGTTTACAAACTTACTGGAACATATAACACTGATCTTTTTACCTGGGCGGAATTTTCCTTCATGGCATCGGCACTTGGTGCTAGGCTAGGCCACAGATCTATATATAGAATTACTTATTATAGATCCACACACGGGTTAAAACTCCAGAATAACACAGAAATCCAGATATACAAACACGTCGTAACACACAACATATCACAGTCTGAGACGGGTGTGTTACTTATCAACGATTACTCCAACTCAAATACAGTTTCTCTGACCTTCAGTTTGACCTTGAGACGTGTCCACGTCATATTGTACGGTTCACAGGTGGCGGTCCAAGTGGCGAGGCTCGACATGCATGAGTGAACACGAAAGGACGGCTGAATACCTTAGGGCGTTACGTAGGCTTTAGACCCGCACTTAAAGGGACATACCCTTGTTGGTGAAACACTTACCACTGTTCGGGTAGAGGAATGCTTAGAATCTACACTACCTTCTTAGAATTCGACACTTGAATCAGTGATTTTATTTTAGCTTGTATGGTAGGGTTGTTGATCCTTGCCTAGACGACTTGACGGTGATGGTATGAAGAAAGTCTCACTGGTCTTTGAAGGTAATGGTATCATTGGTATCACGAGGTATTAGTATCATTGGTATCACGAGGAAGTAGCCTCGCAGATCACGTGACAAAATAGTATCACACGTCACACGAGGAAATGTATCACAGATCACACGTAGAGTATCACAAATCACAGACACACGTAGCGCGGTCATGTGACCCACCTAACACACCAAATGTGTACGTGTGTAGCGGAACATGTGATGAATGAGTGCAACATAAGTGCTTGACACCTGACGTCATCAATAATTTCACCACCCCCCCCCCCTCCCCATCACTTGACACTGTGGGCAGAGCGTGACCGTGTATACAACAAGGACCCGGGCAGCCAACATGCCGGTTTGCTGCCGGTTTGTTGCCGGATGTTGCCGGCTTGTTCCAGCACTTAGTCGCACGGAGTCACTGAACGAACCGGTTTTTACCGTATGTTTGAGGTTTATATTGGCTGGCCTGTACTGGTCTAGATGTATGGCCATGTTTACAGTGGGTGGCCTGGACTGGTCTAGATGTATGGCCATGTTTACAGTGGGTGGCCTGGACTGGTCTAGATGTATGGCCATGTTTACAGTAGGTGGCCTGTAAGTGGTCTAGATGTATGGCCATGTTTACAGTGGGTGGCCTGGACTGGTCTAGATGTATGGCCATGTTTACAGTAGGTGGCCTGTAAGTGGTCTAGATGTATGGCCATGTTTACAGTGGGTGGCCTGGACTGGTCTAGATGTATGGCCATGTTTACAGTAGGTGGCCTGGACTGGTCTAGATGTATGGCCATGTTTACAGTGGGTGGCCTGTAAGTGGTCTAGATGTATGGCCATGTTTACAGTGGCTGGCCTATGGTATAGATGTATGGTCATGTTTACAGTGGGTGGCCTGGACTGGTCTAGATGTATGGCCATGTTTACAGTAGGTGGCCTGTAAGTGGTCTAGATGTATGGCCATGTTTACAGTGGGTGGCCTGGACTGGTCTAGATGTATGGCCATGTTTACAGTAGGTGGCCTGTAAGTGGTCTAGATGTATGGCCATGTTTACAGTGGGTGGCCTGGACTGGTCTAGATGTATGGCCATGTTTACAGTAGGTGGCCTGGACTGGTCTAGATGTATGGCCATGTTTACAGTGGGTGGCCTGTAAGTGGTCTAGATGTATGGCCATGTTTACAGTGGCTGGCCTATGGTCTAGATGTATGGCCATGTTTACAGTAGGTGGCCTGGACTGGTCTAGATGTATGTCCATGTTTACAGTGGGTGGCCTGTGCTGGTCTAGATGTATGTCCATGTTTACAGTGGGTGGCCTGTAAGTGGTCTAGATGTATGGCCGTGTTTACAGTGGGTGGCCAATAACTGGTCTAGATGTATGGCCATGTTTACAGTGGGTGGCCTGGACTGGTCTAGATGTATGTCCATGTTTACAGTGGGTGGCCTGTGCTGGTCTAGATGTATGTCCATGTTTACAGTGGGTGGCCTGTAAGTGGTCTAGATGTATGGCCGTGTTTACAGTGGGTGGCCAATAACTGGTCTAGATGTATGGCCATGTTTACAGTGGGTGGCCTGGACTGGTCTATATGTATGGCCATGTTTACAGTGGGTGGCCAATAACTGGTCTAGATGTATGGTCATGTTTACAGTGGGTGGCCTGGACTGGTCTAGATGTATGGCCATGTTTACAGTGGGTGGCCTATGGTATAGATGTATGGTCATGTTTACAGTGGGTGGCCTATGGTATAGATGTATGGCCATGTTTACAGTGGGTGGCCAATAACTGGTCTAGATGTATGGCCATGTTTACAGTGGGTGGCCTGGACTGGTCTAGATGTATGGCCATGTTTACAGTGGGTGGCCTGTAAGTGGTCTAGATGTATGGCCGTGTTTACAGTGGGTGGCCAATAACTGGTCTAGATGTATGGCCATGTTTACAGTGGGTGGCCTATGGTATAGATGTATGGTCATGTTTACAGTGGGTGGCCTGGACTGGTCTAGATGTATGGCCATGTTTACAGTGGGTGGCCTGTAAGTGGTCTAGATGTATGGCCGTGTTTACAGTGGGTGGCCAATAACTGGTCTAGATGTATGGCCATGTTTACAGTGGGTGGCCAATAACTGGTCTAGATGTATGGCCATGTTTACAGTGGGTGGCCAATAACTGGTCTAGATGTATGGCCATGTTTACAGTGGGTGGCCTGGACTGGTCTAGATGTATGGCCATGTTTACAGTGGGTGGCCAATAACTGGTCTAGATGTATGGCCATGTTTACAGTGGGTGGCCTATGGTATAGATGTATGGTCATGTTTACAGTGGGTGGCCTGGACTGGTCTAGATGTATGGCCATGTTTACAGTGGGTGGCCTGTAAGTGGTCTAGATGTATGGCCGTGTTTACAGTGGGTGGCCAATAACTGGTCTAGATGTATGGCCATGTTTACAGTGGGTGGCCTGTAAGTGGTCTAGATGTATGGCCGTGTTTACAGTGGGTGGCCTGGACTGGTCTAGATGTATGGCCATGTTTACAGTGAGTGGCCTGGACTGGTCTAGATGTATGGCCGTGTTTACAGTGGGTGGCCTGGACTGGTCTAGATGTATGGCCATGTTTACAGTGGGTGGCCTATGGTCTATATGTATGGCCATGTTTACAGTGGGTGGCCTATGGTATAGATGTATGGCCGTGTTTACAGTGGGTGGCCTGGACTGGTCTAGATGTATGGCCATGTTTACAGTGGGTGGCCTATGGTATAGATGTATGGCCGTGTTTACAGTGGGTGGCCTGGACTGGTCTAGATGTATGGCCATGTTTACAGTGGGTGGCCTATGGTCTATATGTATGGCCATGTTAGTAGTATATTAGGTCACTTTTGGTTATCATGGGTGAGCAGGAGCAGGAGGTGGAGCAGGAGCAGGAGCAAAGGATATATAGTAAAATACTCCCCCAGCCTGGGACAATGACATATAGTAAAATACTCCCACCACCAGGCGCAGCCTGCCGCAGCCTGGGACAACGAGATATAGTAAAATACTCCCTGGGGGAGGTGGAGGTACACCGACATATAGCAAAATACTCACCCATCTGGGTGAGGGTGGGTGAGCAGGTGGCGCAGCCTGGGACAACGAGATATAGGAAAATACTCACCCACCTGGGTGAAGGTGGGTGAGGGTGGGTGAGCAGCCTGGGACAATGAGATATAGTAAAATACTCACCCACCCTAGGGTGGGTGAGCAGGTGGGGGAGTAGGTCAGTAGGTCACCACCGGTGACCTTGTGACGTAATTAGTAACATTATGACGTAATCATTGACCTAGTTACGTAATTTTAATGTATTTTTTAATTAGTTTTAATGAGTTTTTAAATTTTTAA